CTCTCTCTCTCTCTCTCTCTCTCTCTCTCTCTCTCTCTCTCTCTCTCACACACACACACACACACACACACACACACACACACACTTGGTTAAAAACCTAATAAGTGCACGGTGCTGGGCAGGAAGATAGAGAATAAATGTAAAGGGAAGATCTGAGCATGTGAACAGACACTTGAATCAACAGACCCTACAGTAGCCAAACAGAGGAGAGCAAAGTTGGTTTTTCAGAACAAAAGACTCAGACTCTCCACCCACTTTGGGGGAAGAAAACCTCCTGCCCCTGGAGCCTGGATTAACAGACCCCATTTCTGCCTCACATGGCCCACCCACTTTGCTGACCTCTGATTGGCTAGTTCAAGTTCACAGCCTGACTGCTCTGATTGGTTGATTGTCTTTGGGCGGTTGAATCACCACACTTCGTCTCTGTGTGAAGCGCCCCTTCACCGTCGCTTCGTCTCTGAGGTAGGTTCTCAGTGAGGGGCATCTCCGACAAGTTAAAGGTGGACAGATAGAAAAGCTGGGAACCTCTGTAAGTCACGCAAGTATTTGTGCCTTTGCTGTGCCTTCCAAGATCGTCAAGATAAGTTAAGACTGAGAATTGACTAAAACCTTTCAGGGCAATCCCCGTCGAACAATGATAAAACTAAAACTATGTCATTCTATGACATTCCTTAATTACTATTCATGAGGGAAGCAAAACCAAAGTAAGCCTAAGAAACCCCCAAATCAGCCAGATGCCCCTAGATTGTCTCAGAGATAATGACAAATAATCTCTGCCTTAGGGACTACTTTATTACCTTTTCTGGGAGCGAGTGGGAGTCATCTTGACCCCAAAGACCTCTAAATATCCAATCCTTAAAATATCTCTAATGCTTTCTGTTTGTGGGGTCCCAGACTGATGCATGTTTTTTTTTAAGTTTTTTCCTTTTTGGGGACGGGGGCGGGGGTGTACTGGGGATGGAAACCCCAGGGGCACTTTATAACTGAGCTACAGCCGCAGTACTACACCCCACCCCCCCCCCCCCCCCCCCCCCCCCCCCCCCCCCCCCCCCTTTTTTTTTTTTTTTTTTTTTTTTTTGTCTTTTTAATTTTGAGAGAGAGTCTCTCGCTAAATTGCCCAGGCGGAGAAGCAATTGTCCTGCCCCAACCTCCCAAATCACTAGGATTACAGGTGTGCCACCTCAGAAGACCAGATTGGTGCATCTTGAAACACCCCACACTCCCTTGGCTTGAGTGGTGGCTAGTCCTATCATCTCAGAGATTCTAACTCCCTTCATTCGAATATTTTCCAAATTAACGCAGTAGTAGCTCCTAAATTCACTCAAATTAGCGACCCATGTTTTTCTTCAAGAGCAGAATCACAGCTGGGCGCAGTGGTACACACGCCTGTAATCCCAGCGGCTCGGGAGGCTGAGGCAGGAAGATCTCTCATTCAAAGCCAGCCTCAGCAAAAGCGATGTGCTAAGCAACTCAGTGAGATCCTGTCTCTAACAAAATATGAAAAAGGGCTGGAGGGCTGGGGATGTGGCTCAGTAGCTACGTGCCCCTGAGTTCAATCCCAGTACCCACCAAAAAATAAAATAAAAAGAGCCAAACCACACATCCTTTCCCTGACATCCCAACCCCATCAATCAGAGAGATCAAATGACCTGTGAGACTCTCCTCCCCTGCTTTACCTAACAATACACCATATATTAAAAATTCAAACTCATGGCCTGGGGTTGTAGCTCAGTGGTAGAGTGCTTCCCTAGCACGTGAGAGGCCCTGGCTTCTATCCTCAGCACCACATGAAAATAAGTAAATAAAATAAAGGTATTGTGTCCAACTACAACTAAAAAAATACATATTTTTAAAAAATCACATTCACTGTGCATATTCAAATTACTCAGATCTGATAACCACACATTGTATCCGTGAATTGAAATATCACACTACCTCACAAACAGAATTTTTCTCAATTGAAATTTTAAAAATTTTGAATAAAAGGCTGAAAAACTATAAAAGGAAAATAGTTCAACTTTTGTTTTGTCTTAAAAAAAAGAAGAGTTTTGAACAACCAACAATAAAAATTATAAAAAAAATTAAAAATTAAAAAAAAAAACTTTTGTCTTACAAAAATTTAGTCTAATTTTTTTTTTTTGTGGGAAAGGCTTTAGAGAAATTTTAACCTAAAAAAACAACTGTACACAAAAGTCACTGCTTCCTCAAGGATTTTTTCTTTTTTAATTTTTAATTGGCATATGATAATTATATATGTTTATGGGATACAGTATGAAAATTCAATAACTCTATATAAAGTGTACTGATCAAATCAGGCTAATTAACATTTGCCTTTCATTAAACATTGAGAACCTTCAGACTCCTATCTTCTAGGTGTTTTGTATGTTTGTTTAATAATTTTTTTGTACACAATACCTTTATTTACTTATTTTTTTTGAGAGAGAGAGAGAGAGACAAAGAGAATTTTTTAATATTTATTTTTTAGTTTTCGGTGGACACAACATCTTTATTTTATTTTTATGTGGTGCTGAGGATCGAACCCAGTACCCCGCGCATGCCAGGCAAGCGCACTACCGCTTGAGCCACATCCCCAGCCCTATTTATTTATTTTTATGTGGTATTGAACCCAGGGCCCTGCATGTGCTAGGTGAGCCATCTACCACTGAGCCACAACCCCCAGCCCAGTTTTGTTCGTTTTTTGATACCTAGATTGAACCCAGGGTTGCTTAGCCACTGAGCCACATCCCCAACCCTATTTATTTTTTTATTTTGAGTCAGAGTCTGGCTAAGTTGCTGAGGCTGAACTTCAATTTGCAATCTTCTTGAGTTGCTGGGATTAAAGGTGTGTGCCACTACACCTGGCTCTTCTAATTCTTTATAAAATATATGATCAACTGTTGTAAGTTATAGTCTCCATCAAAACCGAATTTATTCCTCTTTTTTTTAACTGTATTTGGTATCTACTCTCTGACCTCCCTCTACCCGTCTCCTCCCCTTTCCGGTTGCTAGTGGTACTATTCTGCTCTTCTATAAAATCAACTTTTTTTGGCTTCCACAAGAGTTGAGAATGTGTGTTGTTTGTCTTTCTGTGCCTGACTTCTCCAACATCTTTCTATTTTGCCTTCAGTTTAAGACAAGCTCCAGGGGAACTACTATCAACAGCAGCCAACCTGCTCTCAGAGACATAAGGCTGCTTTGCTCATGCCCACAGAAACCTGTTATTCCTAACCACTACTTCTCCCACTCCCTTGTTCTCACCCAAATTTCCCCCAATGTCCTTACTCAGGGACAGTTAAGACCAGTATGGAGAAAAGTAGAACCTAATCCCAGGTGACTGGCTGAGTGTGGCCGTCCCTCCATGCTTTTTCCCTCCACAGGACCTTTGGTCTTGTGGCTGGAAAGAATCAGGCTGTCCCTTCAAGATCAGACTGTTCCCAGTGCCATGAACAAAGACAGCTCCTTTTCAAAGAACCTCAGGGAAGATACTCAGAAATCAGAGAAGAAATACAAGGTGAGGTAATCTGGAGGGGGCAGATGAGTAGCCCAGGGGACAAGATTTCTTCCCCAGGGTGACTAGATTTTTCAGGAGATGGCACTGGGGACAAGGAGCAAGGTCTCAGGAAGTGATCTAGAGCCTTGGGAGATTCCCACCCACATTATGTCTTCCCCCAGCTTCCCTGGACAAGCCTGTGACTCTCAGCCCATTCTGAAAGGTGGGAGGAGAGTAAGCCATCAGTATTCAGCACCTACTGCATGCCAGGGGAGAAGCTAGGCAGTATTGCCCCTGTTCTCTCAATCAATACAACACCCAAGAGGGATTATCTCCAGTTCCCAGATCCACTGCAGAGGCCCTGCAGCCAAGGAAGCAGCCCTGAGTGGCTTCCAGAATTTACTTTTTCTTCTTTTCTAGGCCTTCAGGGATATTTCCAAATACTTCTCTAAGAAAGAGTGGGCAAAGCTGAGCCATTCGGAGAAAATTACCTATGTGTATTTGAAAAGAAACTACACCACCATGACTAGTCTAGGTAACAGGACAAAGCTGAGTGCAGACAAGCCTGGGAATACGTGAGCATCCCTTGGTCCCATTCCATGTTATGGCTTCTTAGGCTGTAGTGAGTGCTCCCCATTTTCCTTTTGTTCAGGGAGAAATGTCAAGGCAGTATTTGAGTGTCCTGTTCTATTATATCCTGTGCATGTCTGAGGGCAGGGGCTGACCACCTTGGAACTCAAACCTGAATCCTGTACATTTCTCTCCTGCCGGCCTTTGGCATCCCAGCAATTCACTCCCCCTTCATTCCTTCTCTCAGGTTGTCTCTTAAGGAACAAACAATTTGCTTCTTTCTAGGTCTCAGAGCCACCCTTCCTACTTTCATGAGTTCTAACGGACAGATCATAGAATCCCAGAGCGATGATTCTGATGAATGCCGCAACCGTGGGAGTCAGGGTAAGTGGACAGGAAGGGGATGCAAAGAGTCTCTACCCAATTGCTTTTCAGTCCAGTTTCCTGGAAAGCTTCACAGGTACTTTCTTGCCCCCTTACACAGGTCAGAGCTGAGTGAAAAGGGTTGCTGCAGAAGGTTAAGCATAGGAGGCCATTCATACAAAATTCTAAAACACGCAAAATGAGAACAAAAAGAAAGGGTTGGGGCTGTAGTTCAGTGGCAAAGCACTTACCTAGCAGGTGTGAGGCACTGGGTTCCATCCTTAGCACCACATAAAAATGAAACAAATAAAAAAGGCATGCTGTCCATCTACAACTACAAGAAAAAAAATTTAAAAAAGGACAAAAACTAAGTAGGAGTAAAATCCATCAAATTCAGGAGAAGGGCTAAAAATGGAGAATGAAGGATGACAAGGACTGGAAGGGACTCCACAGACAGCTTCAGCCATGACTTGTATTAGTGGTTTGTTTTCTTTTGTTATAATTTGGGGGGGGGGGGGGGGACCAGGGATTGAACTCAAGGGCACTCAACCACTGAGCCACATCCCTAGCCCTTTTTGTATTTTATTTAGAGACAGGGTCTCACTGAGTTGCTTAGCACCTCTTCCTTGCTGAGGCTGGCTTTGAACTGGTGATCCTCCTGCCTCAGCTTCCTGAGCTGCTGGGATTACAGGCATGTACCACCATGCCCAGCTTTATATATATATATATATATATATATAATTTGAATAAATCGGAGAGATCAGAACTAGTTGTGAGATAGTGTTGAGATCCCACTGAATCCAATGTTATTTCCCATCATTTTTTTGTAAATTAGAAGTGTTTAAAGGATATGCTGTATTTGATAAAAACTGTTAGTGAATCAAAACATAATTAAGAAAATTTTAATTAAAAGATAAATCCCCTAAGAACGTGAGTCAATTTCATAACAATGCAGAAGAGACACAGTGATGAATATATTATGTAATGCATATAGTTATTGCCCTCTATTTTATTTTTATTTTATTTTATTTAATATTTATTTAGTACCAGTAATTGAACCTAGGAGCACTTAGACATTGAGCCATATCTCCAGCCCTTTTTATTTATTTATTTTTTTTTTAGTTTTTTAGTTGTAGTTGTACACAATACCTTTATTTTATTGATTTTTATGTGGTGCTGAGGATCAAACCCAGTGCCTCGCATGTTCTAGGCAAGCGCTCTACGGTTGAGCCCCAACCCTACCCCTATTTTTTGATTTGAGACAGGTCTTGCTAGGTTGCTTAGGGACTCAGTAACTTGCAGAAGCCAGCTTTGAACTTGGGATTCTCCTGCCTCAGCATCCAAAGCCACTGGGATTACAGGTATGAGGCACTGCACCCAGCTTTCCCTGTATTTTATATTAAAACCAAATAGTGGGCTGTGGTTGTGGTTAAGTGGTAGAGTGCTTGCCTAGCATATGTGAGGCCCTGGGTTCAATCCTCCATGCCACATAAAAATAAATAAAATAAAGGTATTTTGTCCATCTACAACTAAAAAAATAATATTTTAAAAACAAAAAATAGTGGCCAGGTGCAATGGCACACACCTGTAATTCCAGGGACTCAGGAGGCCGAGGCAAGAGGATTGCAAGTTCAAAGTCAGCTCAGCAACTTAGCAAGACCCTGTCTCAAAATAAAAAATAAAAAGGTCTGAGTATATGGCTCAGTGATAAAAAGTGTCCCTAGGTTCAATCCTTGGTACAAAACAAAAACAAAAACAAACCCAAATAGTAGTGTTCTCACTCACAAACCTGATTTTGTGCATTCTACTTAAAAGACAGTGTTTTGTTTGTTTGCTTATATTTTCAGAGACAGTGTCATGCTGTGTTGTCCAGGCTGGCTTCAAATGCCTGGGCTCAAATGATTCTCCTGTATCAGCTTCCTGAGTAACTGGGACTTCAAATTCATGCCATAATGCCCAGTGGGAGAGTTGAGAGAGCTATCCCACCCACCCTCCCCCTCACACAACTCCAACTTTCCCACTTGTCAGTAAGCAGAGATAGCACAAGGTGAAAAAAAAAAAAAACAGATGGATTCTAGAGCAGAAATCTTAATGCATTTGAGTAATGTGTACAGTCATCATAATGAAGAGAAGATGTTGGGGCTGGGATTGTGGCTCAGAGAGAGAGCTTTTGCCTTGCATTCGTGAGGCACTGGGTTCGATCCTCAGCACCACATAAAAATAAAATAAAGATATTGTATCCACCTATAACTAAAAAATAATTTTAAAAAAAGAAGAGAAGATGTACTTAATTGTTCTTTTGCTCTAACAGTGCAGTTATAACACAGGGTTAAAATGTCCAAACAGTTGGGCGTGGTGGCCCACACCTGTAATCCCAGTGGCTTGGGTGGCTGAGGCAGGAGGGTCGTGAGTTCAAAGCCAGCCTCAGCAAAAGTGAGGCTTTAAGCAACTCAGTGAGGCCCTGTCTCTAAATAAAATACAAAATTGGGATGGGGATGTGGCTCAGTAGTTGAGTGACCCTGAGTTCAAGCCCAGTACCAAAAATAAATAAATTGGTTAAATGTCCAAACGTTCTCCACAGACCTGGGCATCCCCAACTAAACAAGCCAGGTTCTACAAGTTCCCACAATCCCTGAACAGGTTGGAAAATTCAGGGCTTGAGTACAAAATTTTTCACTTAAAGGAATATCTTTACACTGGGAAGATTTCAGAGCCACTGCACTGAATCCACACTTCTTCACACATTTGGGGGTGGGGAGTTTACTGGGGATTTAACCCAGAGATTTTTTTATTTTGAGACAGGGTCTCACTAAGTTGCCTAGGGGCTTGTTAAGTTGCTGAGGCTGACCTTGGACTTGTGATCCTCTGCCTCAGCTTCCCAAATTACAGGTGTAAGTAGCCTAGCTCTTGCTAGCTCTTCCTTACCTAGCTCTTCCTCACACATTTTTAAAATATTTATTTTGTAGTTGTAGTTGGACACAATACCTTTATTTAACTTATCTATTTTTATGTGTTCTGAGGATCACACCCAGGGTCTCACACATGCAAGGTGAGCGCTCTACCACTGAGCCACAACCCCAGCCCTCTTCCTCACACATATATCGGAATAATTGAGATATAACCAGCATACTGCATAATTTTTCCATTTTTAATTGTCGCACATCTTTAAGTACATACAGTTCAAATTCTCAACCAATTTAATTCTGTGGGGAAAAAAACAAGAGATGGAATGGAAGGGAAGGAGACAATGATAAATTTAATCCACATTTTTAAATCCATCATAAGGAATCATCTGCATTAATGCTTCAAATAAATTCCCAAGTCACTATTAAAGATAATTCAGAAGCCTTTCTTAAACAAATCCTCCCCAGTGGGTGAATTCAACCCTATGCTCTAGCATTTCCTAATACTACCTGAGTCTGGAATTTGGAAATATTTACAAAAAAAGGAAAGAATTCTGATTTATCACCCTCTTTTAGATGAATTGCCTAAAAGTGCTTCTGGCATACGACAGAGACAACGCAAGGAGGTGAGTTTCTCTCAAATATAAAGGACAAGAGCACCTTTGTCTTTCTGTGGATGTCAATATTGGTAAGAGTGGGAAAGTATTAAAAATATCTTAGCCTTTCCTCAAATCTTTTTCTTTTCTTACTTTTTTCCCTTCATGCCAGGGTTTGAACCCAAGACCTTGAACATATTAATATTAAGCACATGCTTTATCACTAAGCTGCATCCCCTCCCCATATCTCTCTCTCTCTCTCTCTCTCTCTCTCTCTCTCTCGATTTTTTTTCTTGGTGCTGGGGATTAAATCCAGGGCCTTCCACATGCTAAGCATGTTCTCCTCCACTGAGCTACATCCCTGGACTTTCTCATCACTTTATCATAATGCCTGATGTAGCATTCATAGTTTAATAAGACTTATGAACAACTGTGGGTAGTCATGCCAGGTACTATTTTAAACAACTCACATGGGTCAATTTATTTAATCCTTAGGAAAACATCTATGCCATTGTTTCTGTTATAATCTCCAAATAATAATGAAGATTTTGTGTTGTTTTTTGTTGTTGTTGTTGCTGTTGTTGTTGTTGTTATTTGTTTTGTTTTGTTTTGTTTTTTGCAGTGCTGGGGATGGAACCCAGGCCTTTATCCAAAGTAGGCAAGCCTTCTACCATTGAGCTACTCCCATATCCCCCTCTATTCTTTTTTTATTTTTTCTTTTTTGGTACTGGAGATTGAACCCTTAGACACTGAGCCACATCCCCAGCCCATTTTATATTTTATTTTGAGACAGGGTCTTGCTAAGTTGCTTAGGGCCTCACTAAGTCACTGAGGCTGGCTTTGAACTTGTGATCCTCCTTCCTCAGCCTCTTGAGCTGCTAGGGTTACAGGTGTGTGCCACAGGAACCTGCCTCTCTATTTATTTTTACATTTACTCTCCAATATCTGTCTATAAGCTTATATGTGATTCCCTACATTTTTATTGAAACCTTTCCTTTAGATATTGTGGATTTATAAAATACTTTTCTTCCCCAGATATTCTGCATACCACACTACCAATCACATGGAGACTTTTTGTGTTTATGAAAATGTCAGTCTGGACAGAGCATAAAGATAAGCATCCTAGTCCTGGAAACACCGTTTACTTAGGCCATTCTTTTACCTTCTAACCTCCCAGATTCCTCATAATTTAGGTATGGATAATGTAATGATCTTCCAGAGGTGATAAGAACATTAATTAAGGTAATGCTTATGAAGACACTTTATAATCTATAAAGCATTAGAGAAATGACATTGATAATATTTATATATGACCTTCATATTTAAAAAGGTGCCCAAGAAGCCAGCAACAGAAGAAAATGATCCGAAGGGAGTGCCAAAAGCAGTTGGCTCAGAACAGGCTCAGAGACAACTATACCCGCTAGGAAAAGCACGTACTTCTGGGAAGCAAAGTGAGAAGGTGTCAGGTGAGAAGAAACAATTTGGAAACAACCCCTCTGACTTCCCTGGCTCTGTTCAGGGGCATGATCTGGGTGTGTGTCTTGGAACCTTGACAGGCTTGGGTCCAAGCTGTGCTTGGGAGCTCACCCAGTGCCAGCTGAGATATTAGAACTTGACTTCAGAATCACAGATTTGATTCATAATGCATCTAAAAGCCAGATGACTTTTGGACTCATCTTCTAAATTTTCTGAACTCCAGATTATTATTCCATAAAATGGAATTTAAGAACCATAGTTCATAATTGTTTGGAAGCCTTACATTAAATCTAGAAAACCTCACAACATGAAAGTTGCTCAGGTAATTCTATCCCACTTGATAACCTAGGAACATATCTTAATCAACTCAATGTCTGATACACATATTCCATTCACAGATACACACTGAATGAAACAAGAGTGAATGTTCTAGTGAGAGAAGAATTTGGGAATCTAAACCTATAGATGGGAGTGATAAAAAGCTAAAACTTGAACTGGGAATTAGTGTGTATTTGTGCAGATCTAAATGTCCCATCCTTGCATGTAGAGGGATGGGGCACTTGGGAGGGAAGGGGCATCTCCTTTTCTGACAAAACAGGCTTATCACTCCCTATGGCACCCAACCTTCAATCTCTTCCCTATCTTAGGACCCAGGAAGAAGAATGTGAATATCTGGAGCCACAGGTTGCGGGAAAGGAAGTATCTCGTGGCATATGAAGAGATCAGCGACCCTGAGGAAGAAGACTGACTCTGTAAATGACCCTTTGACACATCTTCCATGCCCCTGCAAATATGCTGTTTTGTTCTTATCTGGTCACTTGTTCTCCAAACTCATTCACTTCCCATAATCCCTTGAAGTGCAGCATTGAGGCTAAGATTTCCCACACTTTTCTACTCCCTACTCTTGTGTATCTGAGGACCTTTCCTATCCAGGATGCCATAGGCTCCCAAATCTCAGGTCAGCTCCCAACATGCAGGCTATACCTTCTTACAGCCTAAGAATTCATAGAACAGGACAGGTGAGGAAGTCCCTGTGGCCTAAGCAGAGGGCTCACTTGGAGGAGTAGAGGTCCTGACCTTGGGCAACACAGAAGTGTGTGCGTTCTGCAGGTCAGGAGGAAGAGTTAGCAGTGGTAACTCACTGTCACTTCTTTTTCTTCTGTCTTTTCCCCTCAGCTTCAGGGATGTGACCTTCCCATGATGAGAAGCAAAACGTGGTGACCTTTTTTTACTATATGTTATGTATTCTGTTAGAATTTTTCTTGCTATATGCCCAGCAATCTGTTAGATATTAGAATTTGTTGGGAAAGACATATACCTAATGTATATATCTGTCTGTGTGTATCCATGTGCCTATTTTCAAAAACAAATATTGTTAGATATTCTCTGCATTTACACACAGACATACAGGGGTATCACTATGGGCATCTCTTCTCTGCTTTGCCCCACTACTAAGTTGTCTGTCTGGACAAGTCCCCCTCAATCTGTTTCTGTTCAACACATGCTTCATGCTGCAAACTCCCATCCTTCATTTATCCTGCATCTGTCACAAATAATTAATAAACATTTGCAAGTGTTTCCTTATCAGTGGCTCCTCTCATTCTTGTATACACAGCTTTGTGCCTGTGTATTTTTCTAGGATAGATTATTAGAAGCAGAATTGTTGCATCAAAGGAAGCATTAATTCAACAAACACCTAATGAATGGGTACACTGTCCTAGTTGCTGAAGAGACCTCAGGGAACCAGTCCAATCAACATCCCTGTCCACATGGAGGTGGTATTCTAGTGGAGAATTTTATCAGTTTTTATATTGATAGACACTGTTCACCCCAGTCCTAGGGTGGTATTCTGCAATAGATGGTTGGGCGCCTTGGCCTTTGCAGTCTCATTGATCTTCAGCTTCAGGGGCTGAAATAGTCTCTTGGAGAGTGTGTGGAAGGAGACAGATGAAACCATCAATTGGAGAATGTGAAGGAACCAGGAAGGAATGTCCACTCTCCACCATGTGGTGGGCAGGAATAGAAGTTTCAACTTGGTCTCAATGCAGGGGAGCGATAGATGGAAAAGTCCACTGGATAAAGGCACGAGACTGCCCATCATGGGTCTACTGATGTATCACCCAGCTGTGTAACCTCCAAAATTAGTGATTTTTAAGTCAATTCAGAGAAAGTAAAGCTAGAGGATTTGTTTAGTTTTTCCTAGGCAATGGTAGTGAGGCTGGGGAGTACAGAGATATGCAGGATGAGTAGAAGAGGAGTTGGGGGGCTGGGGATGTGGCTCAAGCAGTAGCGCGCTCGCCTGGCATGCATGCGGCCTGGGTTCGATCCTTAGCACCACATACAAAGATGTTGTGTCCGCCGAAAACTAAAAAATA